TTTTTAAATATTATATCTTACTGGGGAGCATCCCTCGTATGGTGTCTAGGACGCTTTTGGATGCTGCCTCTCCGTCATCATTATTTATTTATTCTGTTTATGTTTATGTCTATGTATGTATTTATGCATCTCTTTAGTAATTTAATTTAATCTAGATTTGGAGAAACTGTAAATAAATAAATGTGATCTGAAGCACGCCCTGTTGCAAAGAGAGGGTAGGGACTGATATGATGATGCTTGAAAATGCCAGCATTATGCTTTTGAGCCTGTTTCCATTTAACAGTGACAATCGCCCAAAATCATGGAGATTTGTTATGATAATGGTTGTTGTCGTGTTTAACAAAGATTTATTTGTCTATCAGGACTGGGAGTTTCCTAGCTTTCAAGGGAACCTGGACGTCAAACTTCCAGGAGTAGACACAGCCTCCTTCTACTTCCACTTGCCTCGGTGTCTGAAGAAGGAGAACTGGCATGTTCACATAACAGGCAAGTGGTTCAACTATGGTATCATCATGCTTGTAATTATTCTAGACTTAAACATGTGGAAAAACCAGATCTTTTACAGTCCTTTTGACTTTGGCCAGTACACGGATCCCGAGGGGTACATTTTCACCATTGTCGACGACAAATTCTTAGAAACTGCCAACAAAACCACCCTTTCATACGAGTGGAGGTCAAGTAATCTCAATCCGGCCACGAATGAAACTTTCACAACAACAGATCCGCGTATGAACTCAAAATACCTTGGGTTTGGTTTAGAATTGAAAGGAATTGCTTTCATTCCTTCCATTGTGGCGTTCATCACGTTTGGTTGTCTTATTTGGTTCTATGGACGGGAAAAGTTTGTCGTGGAGGAAGTTCTTGAAGATTTAGATAAAGTTGACGGTGTGGTCATTGAAGAAGTTGATTTTGAGGTGGAACCCAACCAAGATGATACCCCAAAAGCGCGCAACGGGAATTCTGGCCATATTGAAACCGCGGACGAAGGATTGTTAGAGCTTCCAGCCAACCAGGAAGATGGAGAACCGATACTTCTAAATGTTCAACAAATCACATATGTGTAAATCACAAGAAGTGCCTTCCGCTGAAAGTATAAACTGCAGCCCAATGATGATGCAATGTTGGAGAATTTAGGGGGAATCAGTTCCTTGTTCTTTTGAAATGATTGCTCGAAATGTTCTGTTATTTTTGCTTTATGCGTTCTGACTCAATTCTGATCATGTATTTCATAGTTATTTTATTGACATTCTATAGCTTTTAACATAAACAGAATATATCTTTTCAGTAAAACATGTACTTTAAGGCTTAGAGGACATGCAAAGTCGCAACATTTTAGATAAACCACATTATTTAACTCGTGTTGAATTGAAAACTATTTTAGTGCTTAATTCTGAGTCTATCACGAAATGAAAATCACTGCATTTTAAAACTCATTTAAAGTCAACTACCGGTAGCTTCTGTGTAGTACTTAACGTTTTATTGAGACGCGATATTTTAATTTTGGGTTTGCCACCTACTCAACTCGCTCTTCTCAAAGAAATCCTTATATTAACTGCATGTTATAGCAATAGTTTGTTTTGCGTAATACTGTAACTCAATCGCAGTTGCTGTAAAAATTCTAACATATGCTAGGCAGAGTGTCAAGGAAAAATTGAAATTCACATTGTGGATCTTTTTCCTCGAGTTAGTTATACTGTTTCCCAATTACTAGCTGTTTGCTTTGTTTTAAGACGTTCTCGTAATTTTAAAATCTTATTCGTCATAACAGTGATGTACATGTAATGTAGAAAGCTGTTTTTAATTTAAGGTATTTACTCATGTGCGAAGTACATTTTGTCAAAATTAACATCACTAGGTTTATTTTTCTCAGGAGTGTTTTTCGTTTCATTATTTCGTGCTTGCGTTAAAAAACGACCTCGTAATTTTATAAAACTTTCTCTTCATGCGAATATAAACGCTTTCTGATGTCGAATGAAAAGGTACATCATAAGCTTCGATAACAATTTTTTAATTATCATATATACCAATGTTTTATTGCGAGTCTACTTTGAGAAATGAAGGTCAGACTTACAAAGACATTAGCTACCATTAGCTTTGCGCCAACATGTAACACTTAAATTATATTTTATTAATATTATCTGTAAGGCATGTGTTATTGTAAGCATTCAACGCTTTCTAATGTCAAATGAAAAGGCACACCATAAGCTTTGATAACAATTCTTCAATTATAATATATACCAATGTTTTATTGCGAGTCTACTTTGAGAAATGAAGGTCAGGCTTACAAAGACATTAGCTCAGTCCATTAGCTTCGCGCCAACATGTAACACTTAAATTATGTTTTATTAATATTATTTGTAAAGCAAGTGTTATTGTAACCATTCAACGCTTTCTAATGTCAAATGAACACACCATAGGCTTCGATAACAATTTTTCAATTATAATTATATTATATATAATTTTTCAATTATATATACCAATGTTTTATCGCGAGTCTTCTTTGAGCAACAGAGTGAAGGCCAGACTTGCAAAAGACATTAGCTACCATTGGCGTTATGCCAACATGTAACACTTAAATGATATTTTATTAAATAAATGTCATCTGTAAGGTAAGTGTTACTGTAATGAAAAAATAAAAAGCTAAAACTCTATGAGAAGTCTGCAAGTGCCCAAGTGTTATAGTCACTAGTTTGAATTAAGTATTTTTTCCTCCCTGCCACCGAAGTTAAGGTATTCCATGTTACTGTCGAAAGTAAATCCAAATTGCTTTTATCAGTTTTATCGTGTTCCCTTAAAAAGTACCTTGTGACACGCAAAGATACCCATTTTATCAAGCTCAGCCAATGGCCACGCTTTCTTTTGCACTTTTGTCTTGCCGTCCAATCTTCCAATCAATTCGTTTTTTAATTTAGTGCATAATTGGTGACATTTAGAACACAAGTTCAATTGCCGGCAACTAGAAAAGTGTAAAGCTAGCCACACAGACTGTCTTTAGCAACAAAGAAAACCACAGAAGTGCTGTGGTTTTTTTAGCTTGTTTAGCTGCTAACATTGTCGGTATTATTTGAGGGAGAAGGAGAAAAAGGACAATTTACGATTGAATTCCATGAATTATGATATCACAGTCGTCCAATATACAATAAAAACACAAAAGGATTAATTACAAATTTGAGAATCGTTTACGCTTGCTTCTGCGCAAAATCTAGTCTAGAACCCCAATAAATCCTTTACGTAGGGCTTTGAAGAATCAGACTGCAGGAGCAAAACATAACTTAAATTCTGTGTTCGGCTGTTAGGAAACTGGTTTCACTTGAAACGAGTGTACATTTGCCTAATAAAGACATTTTTGATTTCAGAGACAAATATGATTGTCTTTTTGAAATAAACCCAGCCTTTTTTACGCCTACTTGGCCAGGTTTTCCATATTTTGCTTCATTGATGCAGTTTGCTGGCTAAATCAAGGTCGTGGAAGAAAATTTATTTCCAATGACATGGGGAATTTGAGGAATCGTGGCCATGAAATCTCGGTAGGGACTCTTGTAGTTATTTACAATCTTGTCGCTTGAATATTATGTCTCATTGCCTGAGGCCAGGGTTGAATAAGTGCGAAAAAATATGCCCCCCCCCCCCCCACGGTCTTTGAGCTGCTGTATTTCCAATTGCAATGTAGCTTTTCCCTCCTTGTCCACACCAACGAACACAAGGAAAGCACAGACTATCGCATTCAATAGAGGCGAGGGCGTGTGATAAATCAGAACTGCCAACCTCGATTTCCGACTGCCCCCAAGAGAAGTGTGATTTATCCCCAACCGCGGTATCACCGGAGATTTATGAATAATCAAACGTTAATTTCAATCACGGGGTTTTCTTTTTTTTTTCTTTTTTCACGAAGTTTTATGTGATCTGTTTGGGAGACTTAACCCACTATTATTATGCAGTTTATTTTGAACTTTGTATATAATTGTTTATTAGCTTAAAAAAAAAGTCTAACGTGGCTAGCTAGCCGATTGGTTTTCGTTGTACTGTTGAGCACATTCATATTGATAAATAACTACTAAAAGACTAAAGATACCAATTTACATACATATCGATAACAAATGTAGAGACAATTAAAGATTTTTGCATGTTATTTGTTACTATTCAGTTCAACACAAACACGCTATGAAAACATTTTTTGGCTAATAAGCGATGATTTTAGTTTGTAAAGATTTAAAAGGCTGGATGAGAAAGTTTCATACACTGTACTCGAGAATTTTAAAGTCAGGAAAAATCAAATACGGATATCATTCATCATTTCGTTGTTTTTGAGCATGGATAAGTTTTGACCGGGCGGTTTTAAGGGAGATTGGCTCTATTAAGCCATGAATATCCCCTCTTGAACATAGACCTTTGCCATCTCGTCGCAGAGCGCTTTTCCAACAGTTGCTCAACAAAGATTTTTCGCTGTTAATTTTACGGCCCATGAAGAAGTATGTAGAATACCAAACAATGCCGTGGTTGAACCAAGCGAATGATCTCGCAGAAGTTTTCAGTGTCCTTCAGTCGAAAGTCTCGCTGTACTTATTCAGCTGTCAACTGAAATCAATATTTATAATTCACATTAGAGGATAAAATGGCATCTATCATACACAAGCACGTATGTCAAGAGATGTGCCAAAACTGCACGGTGACAAATTGATTCTAAGTCCGATTTCCGTAAAAATTACCATTTCCGGTCAATCACATCAAGCGTCATGATGACTCAAAATTCCAAAATATCCGAGTCTTCTAGCCGGGGAAATTTTCTCTTGCTGGCCGAATGCAATGTCTGTGTCGTTTTTACGATTGCACGCAAGCTGTTATCAAGAGCAGTCTTTGAGATTTCATCGCCTCTTGACACGGTTTTGGGAGCAACATCTGGTTTATGATGGAAGTCGATCTCAAGCCCTTTTCTTTGCAAAGTTTCTGACGCTTTGTTCGTCTTCTTACTGTAATTTTCCCGGTATGTGATTCCAACTTCGAAGAAAATGAATGCGTAGACTATTGCAAACAAGAATATAAAGATCCTTCGACGGGCATTTCGATTAGCGATTGTCATATCAAATACTCTTCCTAAAACCTAATGGCTGCAAAGCCGGTGATGTATTCCTCTGTTTCCAAACAAAAGATAACATATTTTAGTTGAAGATCCTTTGATTAATCCATGACATGCGGGAATCATCCGCTGAAAATGTTTCAGCAAAAGTCAGACACCAAACGACGTCCTGCTTTGACCTTACGTTCAAGTTTTGAGGCAGAATTTAAGAGGGAGTATCCGCGAAGAAAATTTTACGATCATTTATGAAGGCGGTCATCCAGTTTAACATGTGACGAGTCGCCATATTAAAAAACAATTTAACGACCACACCTCCTACCTCGAGCTCATAAAAAAACTACAACGGCAGGGAACCGCACACAGAATAGTTATTTAACTAGAAAACTACAATACGAAAGTATGGATCCGCCAAATAATACGTTGGTAGTCAACGTCTCACTTGCAATGAACGTAGAGGTGAATTTCCAATCGGAGTTCATTTGATGTTTTCGTCAGAGATGCCTTGTTTCATGCCTTGCTACTGGGGCCCTTTTATAAACTATAAACTCAGAGCAGGTGAATTTGAAGAATACAAAAATAATGATCTGTTTACATTAATATTGAAGTCCGAAACTAGAACGTTCTTCAAACTGTGTATAATTTGTATTGCACGATAAGTCCAGAGATAAAATGATCACGGAACCAACACTCAACTGACAACTATTTACAGATTCACCAGACTAAAAAATAATTGTCAATTTTGAAATTTATCACTCAGTTTTCTTTATTGTAGCCTGAAACAATGAATTTTAGAATCATTAATAATTTATGATTGACCGCTGTAACGAGAAAAGAAATATGCAAGGAATGAATGTCTAACATGTAACTCTTCAATGTAACGTAGAGATGACATGAAAGAAAATTGGAACTAAATGTGTTTAAGTTCGGGGAATATGGTTTATTTCGAGGAAAAGAAAAAGAAGAAAAACAAAGAAAATCGGAAGTAGAGAGCTGAAGTAAACAAAATCTAGCAACAAAAACCCAATTGTCCCATCTGTATGGCTAAGGAAGCAGTTCTCATGGGAAAACATCTTGAGAAAACATTTTGCTTTTGTCCATGCAAACGAGGCTACAGAATTTGAATCAAGGTATATCATAGGCTTTTTAACATGTTGCCATATGCTGATATCGAATGAATTCTCTGTGGTTATCTTTTTGAATTTCTCCTAGAAATCTATCCAAGTTTTGTTTTTTACGGCCTATCTTAATGAGCCCTAATTGAGGTAAATTTTATTACTTTTAGCCGCTGTCGCGCGGCAATTTTAATGGACCGAGCTCTAAGAAAGTAACATTCTGAAACGCAGTTTACCGCAATCTCAAACCTTTTGAGAAGCATGATAATTTTAATAACATTCTGCAACGTAGTCTTTAAGTAATTTCATCCTTTCATATTAAGCTTACCTTAGCCTCTCTTTGATTCGATGCGTGAAGAGGAAAACAACCAATTTAATTCGAGAACCGTTTCATAAGATTTCAAAGGTATGATGCACCTTTCGGGATTGTAACGAGCTTGAAAATAATTTGTTTTTTCGTCAACGTAAATAATCTCTTTAAAATGAATTAAACTATTGATTTTCACAGAATCAATAATGCATGAATCAAATAATTTCTTGATTATGAAAGGCTTCGTGGTTTCTAGGCGGTGAGGATGTAATTTGCGAGATATGTAACTCGCCATGGCGATTAAACACTTCAAACTTGAAAACAGATTCTGTTTTTTAAATTTTTCTTTTCCCCTCATATGCTGCATGAATATCCTGACTTTCTAACAAAGAAATTTAGGAAGCTGTGGTCTTTTTTTTCCTGATGTGGTTTATGTTTTTATGAGTATAGAAGAAAAGTCTATTTTAGAAAAACCTTTGTGAATTTTGATAACATCATTTTCAATAACGTAAATCAAATCGTAGGCAAATTTGAATTGATTCCGAAATAGAATACATGTAGCAACCTCATAAAAGCGCTAAAGTGGCTTTACATTCTAATATTCTTGTATTGTCATTTTGTTAATGAAAATGTCATTTGTTTCCGCCGCATTCGACCAACAGCATCTAATGCCAAACCAGAATTTTAAATTTGAGTTTTCTTACGATTTTTCCCAGATACTTACAGTTTCTAACCGATACACCATCTCAAAAATTTGCAAAAATAATGAGGTTTGCTTAAGTTCTCAAGCTGGCGAATGGTCGGATCCCAGACATGGAAAAAATAAATAGCCAAAAGATTCTGGCCATAGTGAAATGACCAATTAAATAGCTGTATCGTGATTGGTGGTTTAAATACTTTCCATTGTTTAGAGAGCATAAATTTCGTGTTCAGTGGTTTTACAAGTATTCGAATAAACTAAGAAAAACCACAGGCTGGGACGCTATAGATGATATTGGCAACAGACTTATTTAAAAGCGACGAGTTCCTGAAAATTTTCAACCGAACCACGTCAAAGAATAACTGAATTTCGGAGCGTAATTTGTCATGGTAAGTGATTTTCTCTGCGGTTAGTCACAGAAAATATTGTCGGGAAATCTATTAACAATTAACACACGCAAAGAGAATAACAAACCCGAAGAAAATTAGCGATTTATAGTAAATGAACAGTGTTTTGAAAATGAAATTCTGAATTGTGCGACTCCCGTAAAAATATCAGGTTTCAACTTTTTTTTCGCTAGCTAGTCTAAACTTTCTGACAATTAAATCTTTTCAGACTTTAGGATATATAAACAAGACATGAATATTCATCTTAAAATGTACAAAAGATATTCAGGGTCGAGAGAGGATTGTAATATGAAATTATCTTTAAAAATTTTGAGCTTAATTCGAAATTATCTTGGTAAAATTTGATTAAAAACTCAAAAACCTTTTCGTTGATCGTAAATCGAAATTCACTCGCCAATGAATGCTAATGAATGGTAAAAAAAATCGAAACACAGTGATATTAACGCCAGAATCTTCGAGCAGTTAATAATCTTTTTTTATCTACAGTTATATCGGTAAAATACTCCGAAAAAGACACAAATTTTCTTCCAGGTTGCGTTCGGATTCTTACTTTCAAAGACATGGTATGTAATTTGCTAAACAGAATAGTACCATTATGAACGCTCGATATGAAATGTCATTTTGTAAGACAAACATTCGATGATTAGAAATCTTGAGAGCACCGTCAAATAAACGTACGGGTTTCCTAAACTACTCCAAGCAAATATTACGCGGAATTTCAAGACGAAGCACTTTTAGCAGAGGGCTCCGCTTAGGAAATCCGAAAACTTGGCTGACTGCTAAGGAAAATACAGCAAATTGAAACAACAACAACAATAGATTGAAATCAGGTGGAGCACAATAAGTACAATGTTTGCTACGCATTGGTGACAAGATTGAATCAGGTTAATTGTTTCCACATTGATTTTCATCTAACGACGTTGATCAAGACTTCGTAACAAAAACCCTCTAAACAGACTGACTTTCATTTATTTGCATTTTTATCCCTCTTTTCGGTCTTCATTGTGGTTGAAGCATTAATTACATCATTTGAAACCAAATCTTTAAAGTGGGTCAGTCGCAGATTGGATCAGTCTCTGCGCGCGACGCACGTTGCACAAGCCTTGTAGGATATCAGTTTTTACATTTCTACGCAAGTACCTTTGACTGACTCAAAAAAATGTCAACCAGAGAGAAAAGGCTGAAAATTGAGGTATATCATATTATTGTAGAATTATATTTAGTGTTGCCTGCTAAATTTGCGTTCTTGTAATCTAAACGCAATATCTAAGTCATGTTTTTCATTACTTTTCGCTTGAACTAAGTATACAATGTTTGTTAAGAAAATATCTCCTTTTCTGCAGAATTTTTCGCTGAATCAAAACATTGTCAGTCACTAAAATATATCTCAGTTTGGCTAAGGACAAGGTTTACATCGAGAGCCCCGAGGCTTCAGTTTTCCACATTTATTTTAGGACCATAGTTGTAAGCCTTAAGCGCATTTCAAAAAGAACAATTTCGATTATTTCATTTCCGATCGAGTGCTTAAGATTTAAACGTCAAAATTCATTGAGCTATTTAAAGAGTGGAGGAGTCAGGGAGATGTCTGTAGCAACAAAAAACACAAGCTCTTTAAACGGGAATTTGACTCCATGTTTCCAGTCGTTAGAGGAACAGACTGCTAATCAGACCTCTCACCGCGATTTTAATTTGAAGGTGAATTTAAAGACAAATAGAATTCCTTCTAAACACTTTTTCATATGGTTAAATGGAAAAAATAAGTGGAAGTAGTGGACGGAGAGCCAAGAGATGTTTTCAAATTGCTTCAATAAGATCGAAAATGTAACCAGTTGAAATGCAGACAGAATTTATTTGTTGCGCCTGCTTCAACAAAGTTTTGTCTTACATGATTGTCCATAGAAAGCGAAAGCTGTCCCAGGTATTTCCTTACTCGGCTAAAATTTTAATTTCTCTAAGGAAAACATATGTTTATGGCGAAAATCCTTTTCCTTTTTGGAAACTGTCTGAGACGCACGTGCAAATAAATAAAAAAATCAAACCATTTCAACAAATTTATGCATCAAAGTTTCTTCTAAATGGTACCAAAATTCAGGGAAATTTTCGAAACTGACCGTGTCTTTCTTTTAGTGGCTATCTTAAATCTATCTGTTTATTTGCTCTTGAAAATTAACTATAACATCAACAAAGAACAACTAATTGGCGATTATTCTTGAATCCGAATAAATTCTTCCTGTGCAAATGCAATTGCATACTTTTTTTTTTCTCGTTGTGGCTGTTTGAAGCGAATGTTTGATCCATATTTTAGTTTCAGACCCCTTATCCTGATTCAGTGTGCATCACGTCTTTGACGTTTAACTTTTGAGTCTTCCTTGGCTAACTCTTGCGTTACCTACGCTGTACTTACGATAATTCATTGCAAATAAACGCACAGTTCCTTTTGGAAATATAGAAGTTTATGTGTCACAGGTCCATGCTAAATTTCTTGCAATGTTTTAAGGAATTTAGGTCTAGAATTGCTAGTAAAATCATGATGTTTATTCAGTTTGAAACCAGTGTTACTAACACCTTTCTATAAGGCTTTCTCATACTTAACTTCATAATTGTGTGAACTTCACTGCCGTTCTGCGTGATGCGTTAGTGATGTTGTTGTTGGAAGGTATAATGAGGTAATCTTTGCAAGGGACGGTTCGAATACGGATTTAAAACTGTTCACAAACAAAAAGTCGAGAGAGGACGGAATTTTGTTTGGTTGTTGATTAAACTAAATGGGTTGTGAGTGATACGTAAGGACTTATCAGTATTGTAAGTCTTTAATAACTGACTTGATGAATCAAGTGGTAAAAACTACTGTTCTTTTAAGGCGCCCTTGTCGTCGAGGGAGAAAAAACTGCGGTGAGAGTTTTGTTTTCAGGTGCACTGGCATTATGAACTCATCAAAAAAGTGATACTAGCTTATGATGTTTATTTTGTACATATTCAGTTGATTTTAGTCCATTTCCATTGGTCTGAAAAACGTGTCAAACCTCTTTCTTGTACTCGAAGCTTTTATTAAATTTTGTACGGGACAAAGATTAAAAAGCTAGCCATTTTGAAAGCTGTATTATCACGATAATTGTCATCGCGAAATGGATTCGGGGTGATTTTGAAATTAATTGTCATGAATTTTCGTTGGAGCGACAGTGATTTCAGAAAGCACCTGCTGAAATAAATGGCTCAAACTAGATAAACATGCAAACTTGCATGACACAAAGGCCTGGTGGACCCTGGGGGAGGAGGTAGGAGTTAGGGGTAGAGGGTAGAGGTTTATGATAAGGGCTAGCCCTCAAAAGTAGGCAAAACGTCCTTATGCGGCGTTTAGGGGTTTTGAAGATTTTGGTCAGAGATAGGATTTGTTTTCAGATGAAACTCATTCCCGTTCGATGCTCTATTGTATTGATCAGCACAGAAACAAAAGTCATTACAAGGGCTAGCTGAGCTGCTGCATCGCATAATTATAATTGTTGTAACCTGATTTGAAATAAAGCAGTAGAGGAGGGGCGGCAGGTACGAAACCTTTTTCTTTTTTCAAATATTGCCTTTGATTTCAAGAGGAGAATGAAAACTTTAGAAGCATGATCGACGGCACTCAAGACAAACATAGAAGAGTATCCGCTCCCATCCCCTCTCCCCCTCATCTCCCCCCGGGATTAGGACACCGAGATGAATAATCGTCTAATGCAAAAAGGCGCCATAGTTTTGAAATTCAATAAACATCCGCTGGGAATCTACTTTGCGAAATTAAATATTGCAAAATTAGCCCGGAATAACGTCATGTGGATTCACTGTAATTTTGCGATACGATACTTACAATCTCAGCTGTCTTTCATCATTACATTTTTGTTTTTCTCGGGCTAATTCGAAAACTTTTCAACTACGCCGCCCGGCTCTGAGTGGCCCTGCTGTTCGATCAAGATAAATTAATGCGCGATCTCTTAAGAGCCGATTGACAAAGGATAACTCAGAATCTATCGGTGCTGTTTCAATCCTAAGAAGATGAGCTTCAGATAGTACCATTTACATAAATCCCTTTCTTTTCAAGGTTTTGTCAAAAATATATATGCCGACTTTTCAGTGCTGGATGATGTTTTGATTTTAAATGATTTTCCAACCGTGTTATGACAATGACTAAAGTTGGATAATTCCCAATAGGCTGCCACCGATGATCATTCACTCAGAATCGTGACTCATGTGACAACAATTTGAATCCTTTTTCATTTCGCCTTTTGAAACGCTTGTTGCCCTGGACCAGGAAGCGAGGCTACAAAATAATTTGTTTATCTACAAAGAGTAGTGCGCATGCGAAATTAGGGGCTATTTATAGATTTCTCAAAGTACGCGGCAGGAAGAGCTTTCGCTAATATTCATTTGGATTTCTCAGATTTTGGCTAAGGCAGAGGCAAAGTGCATGAAATAGCGATCGCTATCGGTTTGACAGACAGCCGGCATTTTAGTTTTGAAGTACGAAGAATAAGGACGAATAGGAAAGATATTTCAACCGTAAGGGCCTGAAATGGATATTGAGGTACAGCATTATTTAATATATCACCCAACGAAACTCATTTAAAAACAAAAAAATTGTCAGAGACTATTGGGAAATTTGGAAGAAGATCAACGTAATTTATTTCTTTCTTTCCACAGATTACCCGGGGAGTAATAACCGCCTACAAATTCGTCTGATTTCTTCCCGATCGCATAATTTGATTTTTACTAACCGAGTAACTTTTTCTGTTCATTTGCAGGATAAACTTACAGAGGAACAGATCGAAGGTAGATTTTTAGATCGAACAACGCTTTACAGATTTCGAATAATCAAATTACGATTCGCTACTTTAAGCTGGAATTAGCATAAAGACTGTAAACGAATTTGTTTCCTGAAGACGGGAATTAGTTGAAATCGCATGAAATAACCCCGGTATGCTAATACATGCTTTGAGATGCCTGCTCTGATGTTTGCAGAGGCGTTACTGCATCTGGCAGGTTTATTTTGCAGTAACAAACGCCTGAAAACGTGTACTGTATTATTTCATTGATCAGCAACCGTATTACCAAAGTTGATAACGAGTCAAAAAAGACCAATGGATGAATAAACGATCATATATTTGTCTCTGAAAATAAACACGGTCCTCAGATGCAGATTAGTCGACTGGTAAACATTGGTGAAAATAACGTAGATTGTATGTTTGCCGAGACATTTTTGGTAAACATTTTAGGTGTCTCAAATCTAAGGACTATATAAACTATCAGGAGATAAATTTCATTAAAACATTTTGTGAAATCAGATTCCGATTCTTGAATTTGCAAACGGAAAAATTTTGTCTGCCGAAGATTATGAGTTCAGAGGGTAATCATTTTGTCTTTGCTAGAAGTCAGGCGCTTCCGACGGAACGGATCGATGAATTCGATAGCGGAAACACATGTATGTCTTTACTACAGAATTTTAATCTCCATCGCTGTATTTTCCTAACAGTAGTCGTGAACCAATTACATGTAATGATTAACGACACAGTTTCTGTTATGTATCTTGAATTATCTTAATTTATATAGGATTTTTCATCCTGTTTTGTTTGGTTGGGATTATATGCAGAGCGGAGTGCTTGCAAACCGGCTTGAGGAGCTACAATCAGTGCACTTCGACCACAAAAGGTATTGACTGATTTTGTTTTTATATCTATTTACGTTTGCCAGAATACCGGGATGCTTTCAAGTTTTTCGACAAAGATGGCAATGGATATATAACAACCCGTGAGTTGGGGGCCATTATGAGATCCCTCGGGCAAAACCCCACGGAAACTGAGCTCCAGGATATGGTCAATGAAGTGGATTATGACGGTAAAATAATCTCTAAATGATAAATAATTAATAATAAATAATTAAGTAACAAATTGTTTAATAACAATAATAGTAATAAATGATTAAAGGGGGTAAGTTTCTAAAGAAAATGTACTGCTGCGTCTGTGGGGGGTATTACACTAAAACAATTTGGTTTTAGCAATATTTCGAGCGTTAGCCCTTCGCCTTTTGCTCTGAGGATGAGCTAACACTCGAAATATTAGCCTTGGAAACTCTCTATGATCGCCAATTTACATTATCAACTTGGTTGATAAAACCAAATTATTTTTAAAATAAAGTCTTCCTTGCCCAGTTCCGCCTTGTCAAGGAAAACTCTCCAGGTTAGATACTGCTCAGAGTGTTGACAAATCCCCTCTCCCCTCCCCCCCCACTTCTTTTCTGACACTGTACGTATGCGAAATAAGAACATGGCGCCCGTTGATAAACAGATATATATCTGTATTACTCTCCTGAAGTTCTCTTATGTGGCCGCAAGTACCACTGAGATTAACCTTAGGATTTTTCCTTAGTATCGAACTAGCACGGCCCTTTATTTTTATTCATAGTTTCACGGGTTGTTAAGTCAATATCAGCAACCCTAATATCATTGGTGCAAAACAGCCTTATCAATTCCTGAATTTGCGCGGTGTAGGTAGCATCAAATATATCGTGTCTTGTTTTCTCGAATTCGTTATTAACACAATCATTTGCTAATAGGTGTAAGTGTAGGAGACAATTGTGCTCCACTCAGTCCTATTAGAGCGATTTTCGGTTGAGTGTCGAAAATAATCCGAGGATGCATTGGTATTCCTTTACTTCGCTCTGTGATTGGTCCAGAAAACTCGCGCCACTCTCAACCAATCAGATGCAAAAATAAAATCAATCACGACTGGCATTGGTCGCCCGCGTTTTCCCGCGCTTTTTGCAGTTTGGTTGTTGTTACTTTGAGTTCTCGTTAGTTCTTAAAGGCATTTTCCTTTCTTCTGATGGGCCGCTCTATCAAAAAAAAAAAAAAAAAAAAAAAAAAAATTTTTAAAATAAAAAAAAAAAAAAAAAAAACAAAAAAAAAACAAAGGGGGGGGGAGAGGGAAAGGAGGAGTGGGGGGTGAAAGAAAAAAAAAAAAAAAAAAAAAACAAAAAAAAAGACAGAAAAAGCTGAGGAAAAAAAAAGTNCCACCGACAACAGTCCTTCTCAGGACTACACTCACCCGGACGATCAGACTACACCTTCACATATATTACTTCGCGCAATATTGAAAAGGTTGCTTTATCTTCGTGAGCGGAGGCTCTGAGATATGTAAATTAGATCCTTCTTACTAAAAATGAGTATGGCTAACAATCATTTTTCCCTCAATTGGAAAAAGGTAATGGCGTGGTCGATTTTGGCGAGTTTGTAAACATGATGATCAATCAAAACAACAACACGCTTGACGAGAAAGAGCTCTTGGAAGCATTTAGGACTTTTGATGGCGACGACAAAGGATACATATTCTCGAACGAGATTCGTTACGTGATGCGACACATGGGGGAAAGTATTCCAGAACAAGACATCAACGAGATATTACAAGATTCTCAGGAAAGTCGGAAAAGAAAAATCACTTTCGAAGGTAACAGAGTGTTACTTCCTGAAACAGATTTCAAAATAGCTTGATGAGGTATTATATACTGCAACATGTTGCACGAAACTCTTAGTACATCTTACACAAGAGGCTGTAGGTACCCTAGCAAGTTTCAACGTTGCTCAGGGAGTGATGGGGTGAAAGTAAGGATATTAAGAATAGAATTGTTATACTATTCCTGTAAAATGACTAATCTCGATGGTATATATCAACTATTTTGTAGATAGCGAAGAGTCTGTTCTGGTCAAGCCTTATGAAATTAATTTGTTTAGTTTCTTTTGAGTCCAGAAAATTAGAGGTATCCATTCAAATTATTCCTTCCCTGATATGTAAGCACTTCCACGCTACCTTACCTTGAACTCCCAGATGTGATTAACACGTAACTTCTCCCTATGATATCCATACATTATCCAGCAAACAGTTAGTGAGAATACTCAAACTTATCAGGTAGAAGTTACCTAGATTGAACACCAAATTCTCGTAGCCAAATTTACAAGGAAATGTGTAACAGCGAGAGGAGAGAATTAACAATCAGACCTTGGCAGTTAAAGGATTAATAATTCCTCCTTTGTTTTTTGTATCCCACAGAATTCATCAAACTGGTAAAACCGGAAGTCTAAACTTACGTTTCATTTCCGTCCGTGGATGCGTCAAGCTCTGGTGCTGACAAATGAACGCGAGTACAATTGCGCATGGGCACTACGTTTGTTTACTCACTAAAAGATTATCAAAATCTGCTAACTGTGTTTATAGTTGAAGCACTGGTGGAACGTCATTTTTTTTAAAGGAAAACAATGGATATCGTTAAGCAAAATGAGTTGGAAAGGCAGTCATTACGGAGATTAATTTATTGAAATTACCACCTCGTTCTATGAATTCTCTCATACACAGATAATGAAACATTTTATTATTTTTGTTACTCTCTCAAGTAAAAATGTTTTTATGCGATGTGTGCCAACTTTCTTTTAATTTGATAAAATCAAAAGGGTTGATCTTTAATTCCTTCCAATGGAAATTTCCTTTCGAGTTTTTTTTGCATTAATGAAACAATTAAATATAGCTAATTTATTGTAGCTGTTCTGAAGTACGTATTTTAACCATGCCACGAAACGTCTTCTTGAGACCTCCAAACCATGGACACATATGAATGTTTAACACACTTTCGACGATGTTTAACAATTATTCACCGAAGTGGAGGTAAATAGTGGTAAATATCCACCGTTTTCATGGACACCACACGGAAGCCGAAAAAAATAAGTTTATATCTGTCAACATACCAAAACATAGGCATGCTACGCATGCAGGAGTTATTTCTTTGGAAGTGTGGGTTGAAATGGGACACTTAGTAACTGATTCTGGTTTCTGAATAATTTTTGGCAATAATAAACTGCTTTGCCACCACGCTTCCAGCAGCCCCCTCCACAGCCCTAATTTGAACTCGTCACGTAACGCTCTCTCTTTAACGTTGCGTGACGATACCAAACAACGACCTGCTCGAAGGCTATAATAATGCTCACTGCCACCTCTTCACCAGAGACAAAACCGCAATTATTATTCTCTCCGTAAAGGCCCACAATCAGTCATTCCGTTTGGTTTTTCCTGGCAGAAAGATGCACAATAGGCGTTACGTAGCACTTTTTAATTGGCTTAAAGCATTGTGGTAGACTTGGCCTGGGAACGAGAATGAGTTTTGGCATCGAGTGTCAGTCAGGCTTAAAATGCTGGGCTAATAACCAAGCTTGCTACAGTTTAAACTTATCTTTCGAGCGAACTTAGATATATTTATTTAAAGCACAAGCCTAGTTCAGTAAATGACTTCTATTGTTATCGTACTGATGAAAACAAGAACCCTCGGGAACAGTAAAAGTTCATGGTCGTATGTCAGTAACCTTTGGCGATTGGATCTATTAATAGATTAATATAGCGGACGAAAGAACTATACCTTTCTGACAAAAAAATAAAACTTATGGAAGTCAGTGCCACATACCTTTACTTTCAATCAGTCAAAAAACTTGCGGTGCATAAAATACCTTCAGGGATATATCGCTCCGGGCCAAAAAAAACTTCAGAGGTTTGTTATTAGATGTAAGCAGGAGAAATCCTTATAAACAAAGTCATCGCGTTCGCATACAAATTTTTATTGAGCGACCCCGCATTTCCTCCAGCAATTTTAGTATTTCCAAATTGTCATGGATTTCATCAACTTGTTCCAAAGTCTTAATCTCCATAACTCTCCATGTTAACAAATAATGTAGCCTCTTGTTCAGTAACAAATAGTCGCCTCGAAATATTCTTCCATATAATTTTGCAGTGGAAAGCTCTATCTTATCTCCAACAGCCTCTAGACANGCTGAGAACGAATTTTATTGGTAGAAAACGTCTGAGCACGTGAGAGTTGTGTGGAAAATTGACCTACTGTACCATTATGTTCCTTGTGAAATATTTTTCAGTGAGGCAGAATTACGTCATAAAATTTACGTTGTTTCCTGCAAAATGACATTTCACCTGAGAAAGTCTAGTCTATATTGGCGAGTAAAAAGTAAACACGCAATTGTAGCGGGAAAGTATTGTTTAAACAATATTTAATTCACGGACAACTTTTAGAAGCAGAGAAACGGATATTTAACATGGCAGTCGACGCAGAAAATAATATAACTTGGTGGTCTTTTCAACGTTTACAAAAAGAGCAGTCACAGGGCAAAAAACAAGATCATCAGAGCAATATATTATCAATTTATGCACAAAACATGCACGTTTTAACTTGCAATTAGCAGTAGAAAAAATCCCTGACGACCTTTCTAATCCCGACAGATCATAGCGATAAAGTCCTTACGAAGGACAGCCATTACACTGGGTAGATGAGCTCATAATTCTTGTTGATGTCATTCTTACCTTATTCTTTCATCGAAATTAAAAATAGAATTCATGTATAGCAATGAAATATTCCTCAGTCGAGAAAACGAAATAAAGTAAGCTCAGAACTGCGTCAGCACTCGGCAAAGCTCACTTTTTCTTTAATTATTCTTCGACCTCAAAAGCGCGGAATTACGAGAGCACTAGTTTAACGGCCCTCTCGTTTTATCATTCTTCGACTTCGTGAGCGCGGGATTGCGGATGCACCAGTTAAACGGTCCTATCATTTTATTATTCTTCGACTCCAGGAAAGCTTGAATGCAGGACCACTGGTTTAAATGTCCTCTCTTTTAACATCATTTTTCGACATCGGGACCGCGGGAGGAATCCATTCATAACAGTCAGTAGCGGCCGGGTATTCTGAAGTTGCTCCCATCAACATCTCAAGCAATATTTGATTCAAAATTTTTCTCATGTTCCACTCAGTCTCCTTTAGAACGAAGAATAATCATAGTCGAACGTTGATCTCAACTCCGCCGCTTTCCCAACAAGACTAATACGTCTCCTTAATTCGCGAACCGCTCTTCCCGAGTCACGCGTTGATTCGCTGAAATTTGAAGACCTGTCAAACCACAAATTAGCAAGAACGCTCTGATTGGTGCGACATCAAAACATACTACAATCTGATTGGTTTGTGATACACCAAAAAGTTTCGCCAATCACATTGCTTCGAGATACACCAAAAAAAAAGATGCACGAATCAGATTGCTTAGAGATACACCAAATTGTGCAGATCAGGTTACACTACACCAAAATACACCAATCTATACGTTAACATATAGTTATTTTTAAAAAAAAAAAAAAAAACTCAAAAATGGTCTGAAATTAAATTGTTGACGCGCGATTTTGTCTCTACAGCCGCTCGAAGGTAAATAGTACTTGCTTATTACTTCCGAACTTGCCAATAGCATTATTCGCCCATGTGGTATTTACTAATGAAGACTATGGCTATCTTTGGTGTTTTTGTTGTTATCACTGATTCTATTGTTGTTCCTTATTCCTTAAATGAAAACTAAATGTAATTTAAATTCTGAGACAACCCCTTTCTGAACCAAAACACCGATACTAACGAAGCGATTTGTTCGTCCCTCGTTCAAGAAGTGCACGTGAACGGAAGATTAGGTTAATTAGCTGTTACAATTCAACTGCGGAAATCACTTCAGCCGTATTCCTACCTAGTGTCAAGGTAAGAGGCTAGGAAAAGATTGAAGCCCCAGTTGCAATTTGAAGAAACGACATGACAGAGAAATGAATGGGCAAGGAATTCCATCAGTCAACCACATGTTCCAAGTATCTTGGCCCTTTCAAAGGTTTTCTCGATGAACTGTGCCAAAAAATTTAGTTTCAGCGCAAAAAATCCTGCAAAGCGTGATTTGTTCAGCATTTTCCTCAGAAGACTAAAATCAACAAAAATAGACGGAAAATAAAGGAGTTGTAGTCCATAGATTCACGGCTTGAGCTTCCTTATATCTTTATTGCTGGTTACGTAAGTAATAAGCATATTTATTATATGGCTGTCTCACAAGGACTGGGAACTACCGAATTCACGAATTTGTTTGGCTGAAATCAGTATTGAAAGCGGTCTAGATTTTCCCATCTAGACCGGCATCTAGACCTGTCTAGAAAAAAAAGTTACAAAGAATATAATTTTCCGTTGCTTTCTAGACACAGCCATATAATAAACATCTTATTAACCGAGCTAGGTCGGTCTGTATGGGAGAATCTTGACCTCGGTCG